CTCACCTCAGCCTCCCAAAGGCGCGGGATGACAGGCTGAGCCACCGAGCCCGGCTTTGCATTTCTAACGAACCACCTCCCAGGCCTGCCCACACTGCCGGTCCACAGAGCACCACCAGAGTCTTCGGCAAGATGGAGACAGTATCCAAAGTTGCCTTTTCCCTCCTCCCTTCCCAGGATCATTCGACACCAGCCCCAAAGTCACAGCACCCATTCCGAGCCCTCTGCATGCCCACCCTGGTGCCTCTGCCTCTTGGTTCAGGGCTCTGTTGAGTCAGTCCGTCCCAAGCTATGGGTCCCTCTCTGGGCCAGGACGCATGGGTCCTGAGACCCAACTGTCTCCGCCTTCATCCAGCTTATGGGATCATCACTTTGACTGCCCCTTCTCTGTTGGCCTCACGAGACAGAGCACCCTGGGTAAAGCCAGGATCTGTGTCTCAGACGTCCTCTGCCCTGTGCCTGGTATGGAGTCTGAGGCAGAGATGGACTATGGTCAGAAGGTAGTTTGCTGAGAGACGTGTCTTTTTATTATTATTATAAAGATGTGGGGTACAGTCCAGGGTTAGGTATACAAACATTGATTGTGCAGGTACCCTTGTTGATGAGGTGTGCCCCTCCCTCCCCTGGCAGTTTCCCTCAACTGTCTATCCCACCCCCAACCCCTGACAGTTTCCCATTGCTGCCAAATGCTTTCTTATAGTATTATCATTGTTCAAGGTCCACGAGAAATGCAAATCAAAACCACATGGAGATACCACCTAACCCCAGTGAGACATGTCTTCTTAATTCCTGTGTTCAGTCGGGAAAGTGACATAAGCATGGTGCTTGGATTCATTGTGTTTCATTTTTACTTTACATTTTCTTCCAGTCCCTGCCATCTGGACACATACAAGGAACGTTTGAACTGGCAAATAAAGAAGAAAACAGAGAAAAAAACAGATATCCCAACATCCTTCCCAGTAAGATTTTACTTTTTTTTTGCATGATCGATGGCATTTGCACGATACTTAGCATTGCCTCACAGCTTCCCTACGGGCTCATGACATTCCTGTGCTTAGAGGTGAGAGAGATCAGGAGTCCCCACATCAATGTAGCCGCTCGAGTTTACACCTAGAACTCCAAAATGTCCCTGTCTAGGTGCCTATCTCTGACTGCTAAGCCTGTGCTGACTTTTAAGTATGGGCTGCCCACGTGGGGACCCAGCAGGACAGTGCCTCATGGTCATGGGCACCAGCTGGCAGGGGTCATCCTGCAGAATGCAGGCCTGAGCCCCAGTCTAAGCCTGCCAGTGACCCTGGGCAGCTCCTTGTGCTCTTGGCCACAAGCAGTAAATCCTAAGTTGTCTGGGTCCTGGACCGAGGACGGAAAGGACAGAATAAGAAACCTGGCCAGGCTTAGTGGCTCAGCCTGTCATCCCAGCACTTTGGGAGGCCGAGGCATGTGAATTGCCTGAGCCCGCGGGTTCGAGACTAGCCCAGGCAACTTGGCGAGACCTCATCTCTGCAATAAATAAACAATTAGCCTGGCATGGTGGCGTGTGCCTGTAGTTCCAGCTACTTGGAAGGCTGAGGTGGAAGAATTGCCTGAGCCCAGCAGGTCGATACTGGGGTGGCCGTGAGCGTGCCACTGCACTCCAGCCTGGGCAACGGAGTGCCTCCAACTCGAAAAGAAAAAAAAGAAACCTGTAGGCATTTGGCGGCTTTGTAGGAAAACTCCGAATCCACCTGATTTTAACCTCAATAGTAAAAGGTAGGCATGGGCTGAGGAGAGTAGGTGTCAGGGAATGGCAGGCTGGGAGCCCACAGGTGTGGGCTGGTGTGTCTCAGTGACCTACTGCAGCTGGATGGGCCATGTCCGGAAGCAGGTTTCACAGCCTGCCTGATGCCAAGACAAAACCTGCAGGTTGCAAGCCACCATTGCAAAAGCTGCCCAGCCTGGGCCCTTCCCATCATCAGTGTCGCCCATCAGGCTCACAGAATGACAGCCCCCAAAGGATTCCAACAAATCCAGGTCTGAATCCCGAGCCTCCCTGGTCCACGAGTCACCCTTCCAGACTTGGTCTTGGTGGGATGGAGGAGGCTGACCTGTGGTGGGCTTCAGCATTTTAGGATTCAAACTGAGTCCATCTGCTCTGTGTGTCAGAGAAGCTGTGGTCTGTCCAATCTGTGGTCTCTGGGTCTTCAGCACTTTTTGTAAACGGTTCTTTTCCCTGTTTACATGCATGGCATTGACATGTGGTTTCTACAAAACCCACCGTGAGCCTGTGAGGCTAAAGAAATTCGTCAAATAGGCTTTCATTCAACATACATCTGCAGGGTAGCCCAGGGAGGCCCAGGGAGATGGGTCAGGAGGCCACATGGAGGTCACGCAGCTGAGCTGAGAGGTTGGTGCCCACGAGGGCTAGATTCTGGGTGCTTTGGAGAGGACTTGCAGCTAGATAGGCTATCAGATGTCAGAGAACGAGAGGAGGCCGCTCACAAGGCTTGAGCAGCTTGAAGAAAGGAAGACCATGGCAGGGGGAGGTCTGGGATCTTTAGAATAATTTGATCAAATAAAAATTGAGATATTTGAGGACAGGCCCAGTGGCTCACACCTGTCATCCCAGCACTTTGGGAGGCTGAAATGGGAGGATTGCTTGAGCTCAGGAGTTTGAGACCAGCCCGGGCAGCATAGAAAGACCTCACCTCTACAAATGTGTTTAAAAAGCCAGATGTGGTGGTGCCTGCCTGTTGTCCCAGCTACTCATGAGAATGAGGTGGGAGGATCACCTGACCCATGGGGTCGAGGCTGTGGTGAGCCGTGACCCTGCCACTGGATTCCAGCCTGAGCAAGAGAGGGAGACCCTGACTTAAAAAGGGCTGGGGGATACTTGGAAATAAGTTTCCATTTTTAACTTAATTTATTGCCTTAATTGTTTTACTTCAGTTATATCTTGATTTGTTGAAGGTATGTGTTAAGGACAACTCAGTGCCCAGGACTTTCCTGAGTTCCTTATTTCTCACTCACTACTTCATCACTTAAAAAGGAACATTTCCATTGTAAACTAAAAGTACTTAGGTGGGAGCTCAGTGGGCGCTGAATTTATGACGAGTTTTGGGAACGACTTAACACCCAGCGTCCTTCTCCAGATGTGGTGGCCCAGGGTGGAGCATCTGCCTCACCTGGACCCCCCTCCCGGAATCGGCTGGGTTTCCCTCCTGCAAATCGTCTCTAAGCTCTGTTCTCTAGCCTGTGCTCCAGAAGTCAGCTGGCCTCTCCTCCAAGTATAAAAGCCTATCAGGATTCTGAACAGGCTTTTCCAGCCTCCCCCAGAAGTTCTTTCCCCCATCTGCTCCCTACCAACCCAGAAACACCAAAACACGAGAACTCGAGGCTGCTGGCAGGCGGCCAGGGCTAGGGACCCTGCCAGAACACGGCACGTTTCATACTGGTAGGATGACAGGCTTACGGAACAGTGGCCTGGAGGTATCGCTTCCTGGCAGGGACCAGCAGGTGGCATCTGGCATTGGGCACTAGGATGACTCAAGGTTGAAGGAGAGTCATGTCTGATTCATCAGGGTTGCCTCTGGGACCCCTGCTGGGGCCAGGACCAGTGGGCTGAGCCAGGAGAGTATGTCAGGCCCGGGGCTCTCAGGGTTGCTCCCTGGGCCAAGGGGCTCCCTCTACCCACTTGGTGAGAGCCCTTGTTATCCCTTAGGGTAGGGCTGAGGGTCAGCTCCAATAGCCCTGGGCTCCTTCCCTGCCTTTCCTAATCTCCCTCAAGCCGAGGGTCGACTTGAACCAGATTTACAAGCTTCCCCACTGGGCCAGGAGCCCAGTCACACACGTGGCCTTGGGGAGCTCTCAGGACAGAGGTGAAAGCGCACTGGACGTCAGGCAGGCTGGACTTTTGCCTGTGGACAGTCTCTTTCTGGAAAAATGCCAGCAGCTGATAATTTTAAGAAATAGTGTTTTGAAAGTGACGTGTGACTTTTTAAAATAAAAAGACAGGAAGCTCTTAGACACTGCAAGATTCTAAATCTAACCAGAAGCTATATTTTCCCCTCTGCTTTTCTATAGCTGTCCTCAAAGTGTAAATTTTCCCAAAGTATTTTCAACTAGCGTTAGACACATTCAGCAGAACTATTTCTGCCTCAGGTTTGCAGCTCCTGAGCAGACGGGCCTCAGCCACATCCGTGGGGCCTTAAGTTTGGGGTCTGACTCCCTGGTCACTCTGTGTGGGCCGTAACCAGCCCTGATAGCTGCACTGGGCCCTCCTTTGTGGCAGCAGGACAAAGCTGACTCAGATGATGGTGTTCTCAGGCCACCAGATCCAGCCCCCGCCCCAGGTGAAAGTAAGACAAACAGTCATGGCCCTAGGGGCGGCCCTGACTTCACACCACAAACACACACAACACAAACACAACCTCCTCAGTCGATTTCAGTCCTGAGGGGAGGGAAGAAAGCAGGGATGAGGACCTGGAATTATTCAATAATGAGTCTAATAAAGAGGCACTAAGTATATACCCTGGACCAAACTCTGTGACAGCTTAAATGCCCTTGGGACCCCTCAGGACTGAAATCGACTGAGGAGGTTGTGTTTGTGTTGTGTGTGTTTGTGGTGTGAAGTCAGGGCAGCCCCTAGGGCCATGGCTGTTTGTCTTACTTTCACCTGGGGCGGGGGCTGGATCTGGTGGCCTGAGAACACCATCGTCTGAGTCAGCTTTGTCCTGCTGCCACAGAGGCGGGCCCAGTGCAGCTATCAGGGCTGGTCACGGCCCACACAGAATGACCAGAGAGTCAGACCTGACCAGGTGTGGACATTCCTGGAAAGGCTACCTCTTCACCACACCGACAGTGGAGCTCCGGGCCCACCGCGTTTTCAGGGCCCATGAATATGCTCTTGATTCTTTTAAAATCAAAAAAACAATATACATCATCCAGCCTGGACTGTGGTCAACCTTTTGCTAACTACTAAAACAGTGGTACATCACCTTGTTAATATTGTTTATGAGAGAAGGGACCTGTGAAAGCAGAGGAGACTGGAGTCCACTGCAGTTATGAGGGAGCCCAACATGTATGTATGCACACACACACACGCACTGTGCCACTTACTCCACAAACGTACACACAGGAATACTACCCACATAACACACTCATACACACCACAAACATATATACACACAATTCATTCACACTACACCATTCACTCACAAACATACAGATACCACACACACACGACACTTATACACACACACACTACAAACATACATACACACAACACACACACACACACGGCACTGCATGTTCAGCCTTTTCAGCCTGGAAAGCTGCCAGTGCCACAGGCCGGAATCCTCCGGGCATGCTCCCACCCTGCCCAGTCCAGGCATGCACTTTGCTCACCTTCCAGCTCTAGGGCAGATGGCGGTGCCTGGAGGTTAGGGGTCAGAGGCCCTAACCCCTAATCCCAACATCTGCTTGTCCCCAAGGGGATAGTGATCATTTCCCTGGAAAGCCTGGGAAACTGGACCCGTCATCCTAAGTGCACGTATGCTTGTCAATTTGGGAGCCTAATGCGGGGTTCATAAAATACAGTCCTTGCACTGTTGGGGCCCTGGCACATTTTGCTGTTTCAGTCTATGTGGTGGCCCAGCAGCCCCCATCCTGGACACGGAAATCCCGCCTTTGTCATTCATTCCGCTGCTGAGACAGTCAGTGTTCACCAAGGCCGGTGCGTTCCCACCCCTGTGGCACTGACAGTGTCAACAGGGACATGGAAGAAAGATGCCGCCGTCGCCCCCAGAATGTCTGTGAAAGTAGTTCATGGCTTTTCTAGGGGTTGATACTGTAGATGAAGACATTCGTGGCACATGTGACTCCTAATCCTAACAGCATGGCTTCGTTTGGGTTTTTTTCAGATGATCATTCCAGGGTGATTCTGAGCCAAGTGGATGGAATTCCCTGTTCAGACTACATTAATGCTTCCTACATAGACGTAAGTCGGCAGAGTGTCCCTGCTTTCCGGCCCGGTGTAGAAGGCACATGGGGCCACTTGGGGGCTGAGCGTGAATCGTGACAAGTGGGTGCTTTCTTCTCTGATGCCAGGAATATCAATTGTAAGTTTGGCCACAAGCTTTGAGAGCATGGAACCCACCGCACATTTCAAGTGAGCATCTGTATTCGAGAATTTCAAGGCACAGAGATAGGCACAGAGGATGGTCATTACAGCATCATTTATATGACTGACAAAATAGAACAGGAGGGAACCCAGCTAAACAAACTGTGGTAAAACCGTGTGCAGTGGACAATTAGGAATCCATTGTAATTGCTCTTTGAAAGATCATTTGCGGGGGTGGGATTGGCAGTTGAGGGAAACTGCTAGGGGAGGAAGGGGCATACCTCATCAACAAGGGTGCCTGCATGATCAATGTTTGTATTCCTAACCCTGAAGTGTACCCAACATCTTTATAATAAAAATTAAAAATAAATAAAAAAAGAAAGATCATTTAAAATAAATTATAAAATTCTCATACAAGTACGATAGAAAAGAAAACGGACCTATTAACCCAATTAGAATATACAAATGTCTGCACATCTACTTGTGTGCATGTCTGGGAAGATATTCACAAAAGAGACAAGACTAGAGAAGGAGCATATGAAATATCATTTGCTGTTTTTGAAATCACTGGTAAGTTTTCTTTTTTGCTTTTTTTTGGTTTTTGTTTTTGGAGTCCGAGTCTTACTCTCTCACACAGGCTGGAGTACAGCCATCATGTCTCAGCCTCCCTGGCTCAGGCGATTCTTCTGCCTAAGAGCCTCCCAAGTAGCTGGGACTGCAGGCACATGCCACCATGCCTAGCTAATTTTTGTGGTTTTCGTAGAGACAAGTTCTCACTATGTTGCCCAGGCTGGTCTCAAACTCCTGGGTTCAAGCAATCCTCTCGTCTCAGCCTCCCAAAGGGCTGAGATTACAGGTGTGAGCCACTGTGCCTGGCCTGAGTTTTCTTCTTTTTAAATTTATTTCTGCATTTTCCAAATGTTTCATGGTGAATGTGTATTCCTTTCCTAACAGCAAAAAAATCCACAATTTATAATTGTGCAAAATTATAAATCTGATTTTATTTTTCTAGGGTTACAAAGAGAAGAATAAATTCATAGCAGCGCAAGGTAAGCTTTTGGTTAAGTTCTGAACATAATTCAGTAAAATAATGTGAATGGCTATTGTTTCCAATTCTGTATGCCAAGAATACCGAGAATTTATACTGATTATTTGTGTGTGTGTGTTTACATTTAAAAGACATATTAGCCGGACTTGGTGGCTCAGCCTGTAATCCCGTGCTTTGGGAGGCTGAGGTGAGTGGATTGCCTGAGCCCGCGGGTTCGAGACCTGCCTGGGCAACTTGGCGAGACCTCATCTCTACGATAAATCAAAAGTTAGCCAGTTGTAGTAGCGCACGCCTGTAGTTCCAGCTACTTGGAAGGCTGAGGCGGAAGGATCGCCAGAGCCCAGCAGGTCGAGGCTGCAGTGGCCACTGGGCGACAGAGTGAGACTTCAACTCAAAAAATAAAAAAATAAAAAATAAAAATAAATAAAAGGCATATTAGATGTCCATTTGTGCAATGGATATGTGTAAACAAACATACACATATCTGTTTTCACATATTCATAATTTAAACACAGAGCACACAGTGGTCCACTTGTTGCCGTTTAAGCATGTTGATACTTGCATTAGATAATCCTTAATTTCTCTCAGCCGACGGAGCCCTTCATGGCTCCCAGGTTTTGGGGGTTGGAAGGCGAGTAGCTTTTGAGATCAAGGCCATAACCAAGAAGCCACTTCAACCATGAAAACATGTCTTTAACCTTGAACACATTACTACCTCGTCCACCGAGTGCTTCAATCCATCCACTGGACCAGAGGTTGTCATCTGGAGCTGCATGCAGTTAGGTGTCAGCGGAGCTAAAACTAAATTTATCAGACTTCCTCACTCTTAGATCAGGAGTCTTTAGGGCAATGATTTCCAAAATTCGGGCTTGTTACAAATGCAGGTTCCCTAAGAAACAGGGACATGCATCTACACGTGCGCATACAGAGGACATCAGGAATGTACCCAGCTGTAAACATCAGAAAAGCTGACAAACATGGACTGAAACGGATGGTAGCATGTTTTTCTCTCATTAGTCAGCCATGCAAAGGGAGGAAGCCCAGGGTTAGGGAACTGCTTTATCTTCCTGCCCATCCTTTTCAGCATGTAGCTCTTACCCCCAGGGTTGCAAAATGGCTGCTGCCTCTCAGGGCATTGTGTCTGTATCCAGGCAGGAAGTGGGAAAAGAGCAGAAGGTTTTCTTCTAGTGACACTTTATCTTTTGTTCAGATCCCTTCCCCAGGGACTTCAGCTTATATCTAATAGACAGCACCGTACTGAGAGATTTGAGCTTTTTACAAAGGAAAGGGAGAAGGGAATTAGAAATGCAGAATGAGTCGGGCAGCTGTCTCTCTGTCTGTCTCTCTCACACACACACACACACACACACACACACACACACACACACACACACACACACAGCTCTGTCGGTCCTGACTCACTGATACTAGAGCGGGCCTTGGTATTCTGGGGTTTTAACAAGCTCTTTGACAAGAAGCTTTAGATTCGGTCCTCACCTGAACACACCTTCTTGCCTATGAATATAATAACCCCACCTGGGTCCAATGGTCTCGCTCCCAGGTATTTCCCAGCTGGAGTGGGGTGAGTGTGGTAAGCTGAAGACTTCCTGGTCCCTCCCAGGCACTATGGGTTCTGGCAGACTTCAGGGCACGAGATGTCCCAACAAGCACTCATTCCTCTGTGCCCAGCTATCCCCACGGCCAGGGTGCAGGACCCCATAGAGACTTCTCTTGACGCCTTTTGACTCTGGAATTGTCCTCTGCACACAGGCCCCAAACAGGAAACCGTTAATGACTTCTGGAGGATGATCTGGGAACAAAAGTCTGCGACCATCGTCATGTTAACTAACCTGAAAGAAAGAAAAGAGGTGAGCTCTCCGGGAGCCTGACTCATGCGATCGTTTCCTTTTTGCTGCTGCTTAGCCGAGGAGGTTCTCACCACTTCCTTCTCCTATTTCCCTCCCTTCATATCATTGCAGAAAAAAAAAAAAACAGCGGCATACAGTATTTTTATCATAAAATAAGTCCTGTGTCCCCAGTATCTCACCGTTCAAATCCGTGATAAAACAATGAAGTTTTTATCAGCCAAGTGCAGCCCCTAGCCGGCCCTGTGGTTTGACCCCGTGATGGAAACTGCGAATCTGAGAAGTTAGGTTTTTAGTACGTCGATGTATCTATCACGTAGTAGGTCCCAGACTGCAAATGAAAAGGATTTCATGCTTATTATCCAGAGTAGAGAAATATACTCAAAAATCATGGCGTATGGAAGGAATGTTGATTTGTCACCCAGATCTATTTAAGTAGTTGTTTCTGATTCAAACAGGGATGCATGCACATTACAGAATAAGAATTGGGGACATCGACAAAGAAGAGAAGTTGAACTGGTCGTTTCCTAATGTGACAAATACCCGTTAGCATCTGCTATGCGGGGCCACCTCTGTCCCAGGTGCATAGAATGAGACTTGAATGCAGGACTGAGAAAAGAGGAGGCCTGTGGGGGTTTTTTGGCCACAAGCAGGGACCCGTTTTTTGTTGTTGGTTTTTTTTTGAGTTGGAGTCTCACTCTGTCGCCCAGACTGGAGTGCCGTGGCCGCTCCCGGCCACCGCAGCCTTGACCTGTTGGGCTCCGGCTATTCTGCCTCAGCCTTCCGAGTAGCTGGCACTACAGGCACGCGCTACCACGCCAGCTAATTTTTGATTTGTTGTAGAGATGAGGTCTCACCAAGTTGCCCAGGCGGGTCTCGAACCCGCAGGCTCAGGCAATCCACTCACCTCAGCCTCCCAAAGCGTGGGATTACAGACTGAGCCACTGAGCCGTTTTTTTTAGGGCATGAAGTCACTCTCTGGAATGAAAGAGAAACTGGGAGCCCGAGGGTGACTTGCTACAGATGGAGGAACCAGTTAGGAGACAGTGCTTCTAGCATGTTCTAGCATGAAGGCCCAGCTTGGCGGGAGCTGTGTGTCCTGCCCACCCCAAGCAGGGCCTGCCAAGTCCTGGGCTCCACCCCCACCCTCTGTTGCTCACACATCAAAGACGCTGGCCGGGCCCGGCAGCACCCACGCAGTGTGGCAAGGATTCTGGGGAAGGCCTGCTGTTTTTATTTACTTTTATTTTTTATTTTTTGGTGGTGCAGAATGACTCTTTTTTTAAATCAATATTTTTTATTATGATATTGTGGGGTACAGTTAAGGGTTAGGTATACAGCTATGCTTCGTTCAGGCACCCTTGTTGATAAGAAGTGTCTCCCTGTCCCCAGATGGATACTGACTACTGCTAATCCCATCTCCCTTCCCCTCCTCCCCCATAGTTTCCCACCACTGTCAGTCATTTCCTTATGGTAATATGTTGGATGATCAAGGTCCACTGTATGAGTGAGAACATGTGACACTCAGATCTTTGCTTCTGTGAGAGGTCGCTCAGTATTATAGACTCTAGTTCCATCCAGGTTGCTGCGAAATTCATGATTTTGTTCTTTCGTATCGCTGCGAAGTATTCCATCGTGTATATGTACCACATTTTTTTAATCCAGTCCTCTTTTGATGGACAGCATGGTTGCTTCCAGGTTCTTGCTATTGTGAACAATGCCGCGATAAACATACATGTGTAGGTATCTTTTTTATAGAGTGATTTGCGTTCTTCAGGGTATATTCCCAGGACGGGGATTGTGGGGTTACATGGGAGGTTGATATTTAGAGCTTTTAGGAATCGCCACACTGCTTTCCACAGAGGTTGCACTAGTTTGCACTCCCACCAACAGTGTAGAAGTGTTCCCTTTTCGCCACACCCTCTCCAGCAACTGTTATTTTTTGAGCTATTGATAATGGCCATTCTGACTGGAGTTAGGTGTTATCTCAGTGTAGTTTTGATTTGCATCTCCCTGATGATTACTGAGGTTGAGCACTTCTTCATGTGTCTGTTGGCTGCTCAGATATCTTCCTTCGTGAAGTGTCTGTTCATATCTTTTGCCCATTTTATAATGGGGTTGTGTGTTTTTTTCTTTTCAGCACATTTGAGTTCCATGTAGATCCAAGATGTTAAGCTTTTGTCAGACCTGGAGTTGGCAAATACTTTTTCCCAATCTGTGGCTGTCTCCCTGCTCTCTTGATGGTTTCTTTGGCTTTGCAGAAGCTTGTCAGTTTAATGAGGTCCCACTTGTCTATCTTCTCTCTTATGGCCTGTGGGTTTCGGGTTTTGTTCAGGAAACTTTTTTTTAACTTTTAATTTTTTTTATTTTTAAATTGTGGGGTACATTTCAGGGTTAGGTATACAAATATTCACTGTGCAGGTACCCTGGTTGATGAGGTGTGCTTCTCCTTCCCCAGGCAGATTTCAGCTACTATCAATCCCACCTCTCTGCCCCCCCCTCCTCCCCTCTGCAGTTTCCGCTACTATCAATCTTTTTCTTACAGTATTGAAGTGGTTGTTCAAGTTCCACTTATGAGTGAGAACATGTGATACTCGGCTCTTTGTTTCCGTGAAAGATCACTCAGGATTATAGACTCTAATTCCATCCAGGTTGCTGCAAAGTTCATGATTTTGTGCTTCTTTCTGGCCACGTAATATTCCATTGTGTGTATGTACCGCGTTTTTTTAATCCAGTCCTCTTTTGGTAAGGCTGCTGTTTTTAGATGGGAGTGTCAGGACCTGGGGAGCTCAGCTGGGGTGGGAGATGGGAGAGAGGAGCCCACATAAAGTGCTCTGGTCCTCACAGTGCCACCTGACTAATTTGTTCCACACCAGCAACATAGGAAAAAGTCTCCAGCCACCATTTCTGTTCTGAGATAAGGTGGGGATTTTGTTTTGTTCTTGAGGGAGTCGGGACAGGGCTGGGGAGGGCCCACACCTTGCAATGTTCAAATCTTGCCCTGGTCATCCTTTGACAAGAGGGAAGCAGGGGATTCTCGGGCACAGACACTTGACCCCGCCTTCGCTGTGAAGGAGGAGAGCCCCCCCATCACCAGGGGTCCCGGGGTCCTCAGGGACCTGCGGCTCATGGGGACCAGTCTTCCCAGGGGCTGGTTCTCCCAACACAAGACCAGCGCAGAAACAGTGGGAAGCAGAGCACGCCCCCGTTTCCCCACTTCAGTCATTCCCCTGCCATGTCACTTGGCATTTTCTCTGATCTTCCTCCGTGGCCTCCCACTGGATTTTTCCATTCCTGTGACTCAGGGCTGGGCTGCTTCTGCATCTTGACTCTCCCCATTTCAGATGAAATCAGTTCTCAACCGAGTTCCCTTTTTCTGAATTGCTCACACTTCTGTTGTGGTCTTCTTGGCTTCCACATCCTGGGTTCCACATTGTGAAACGCAGCAGTCTGGCAACTCATGATCTGAGGTGGCGGGGGGGAGGGCTTAAAACAGCCACCCCCGTAGCCCTTTGGGGGCCTAAGACACGTCCCCTGTCTCTACCGGAGAGCCTATCTCGGCGGGAACCTCAAAACCTCTAGGGCTCCCTAGACTAGGACATCTGGGTATTTGTTGCTCCCCTGGGTGGCATCAGAGACCCCCTGTAAGGGGGAGCCAGGTGTAGGGAGGAGGAAGTTTGTGTCATGAACGCCATGACACAAGGATGCTGGTCACTGGTAAATACCAGACTCTTTTTGTGTCATAAAATTATCAACCCTCGTGACTCGGCCAGTTAGCTCTGCCACTGTGGGCCATTCCCAGGGTAAAGTGCCTCGTGTTTGGAAGGCCCGTGGAATTCCAGATGTTTCTATGGCACCTTAAGCAGACCTTTCCTCCTTGATGTGGGTCCTCTTCCATTCATGACGTCCGTGCCGACGGAGGGCTTCCCAAGGTTTGGGTGTTGCAAGAGAAACTGCAGAGTTTAAGGGCTCCTGGAACTTGGATTTGGGGTCATTGTGATTCCAGAGAGGCAAGAGATGAGCCTGTCTAGGAGGGAAAGAAACGAGCCTCTCTGTAGCAATGCGCAGATTCTGTAGCAGCCTCGACCTCATTAAAGAAAAATGAGAACCAGTAGGTCAATCACAGGTTCCTTGCTCTTCGGCCATGGACCCGCCGTGATGCAAATTAAGTCCATCTTTAGTGAACTGAGCAAGAGAAAACAAACAGCTGAATCTGCTGGGAAATGTTTAGGGATAGCACCATCCTTGCCCCCAGCCTGAGGGTCACTACGGGTTAAGTGCTGGACCCTGCAGGGCACGGGCTCAGTTCAAGAACATGTGTGGGGTTGGTGGATGGATAAATGAATGAATGAATGAGAGAGATATCATTCGTGTCAAAGTCAGAAATCCTCAGGGGCCCTCATCGTAGTCTCAGGGCTGCCTTTAGCCAGTTGCGTAGCCTCAGTTTCCCCATTTATAAGGAGTCACGCTCGCCCGTGTTTCTTTCTCAGCTTGGGAGCTATCTGATGGGAAGCCAGAGTGTGGTTGGACTTCTGTGGACGGCGGGGAAATGGGGCGTTGAAGCACACCCACAGACCTATGTGTTTCTATTCAATTGTCTCATACAGGAAAAGTGCTACCAGTACTGGCCCGACCAGGGCTGCTGGACCTACGGAAACATCAGGGTGTGTGTGGAAGACTCCGTGGTTTTGGTCGACTACACCATTCGGAAGTTCTGCATACAGCCGGTAAGCCTTGGCAGCTCTTGGCCTTCTGAAAAGTTTGTTCTGGAAGAGCCCGGTGTCCAGAGTAGACCCACTTTGACGTTTCCTCACACGAAGAGCTTTGCCCTGGCACTGCCACAGCTGGATGGGTGGGAGCTGTAGCTAGGCTGTGATGGGGTGGACAGGTGAGTCTGCCAAGGCACGAGAGGCCAGTGCCCATGGATCTTTGGAGAGTGCTGGGCGCTGCTGGCTCCCAGTGACCGATCCAGGCCTCCTTGGGAGGAAGGTGAATCAACGGGGTGAGGCTTTGGGTGGGGATGTCCCCTCAGTGGAGTCATTTCACATACTGGAATGGTGAGGCCACATTTGTAAAAGACGCTTTCAAAATTATATTCGAAACCTCCTCATTTTTCACATTTATTTCCTATTTCCACCCCACCCTCGACAAAGGATTTAAGGCAGACTTAATTAAAATGCCTGTAAAGCGGATGAAATCAGCCAGGCAGGATGGCCCATGTTGGTTGTCCCACCTACTTGGGGGGCGGAGGCAGAAGAATCACCCCAGCCCAGGAGGTCGAGGCCACTGTGAGCCATGACGGTGCCACTGCACTCCACTCTGGGTGACAGAGACCCTACTCAAAAAAAGAAAAAAAGCAGATGAAATAAAGATTAAGAGATGTAGCCGGGCTCGGTGGCTCAGCCTGTAATCCCGCACCTTTGGGAGGCTGAGATGAGTGGACTGCCTGAGCCCGCGGGTTCAAGACCCACCTGGGCTACTTGGCGAGACCCCATCTCTACAATAAATCAAAAATTAGTTGGGCGTGGTTGCGCGCGCCTGTAGTTCCAGCTACTCAGAAGGCTGAGGCGGAAGGATCGCCGGAGCCCAGCAGGTCGAGGCTGCGATGGCCGGGAGCGGCCACTGCACTCCAGTCTGGGCGATAAAGTGAGACTCCAACTCAAAAAAAAAGATTAAGAGATGTACTAAAGCCATAGAGTCATTTTATCAGGACTTAAAGACAGAGTGATGAGCACAATTCGATCACAAAATATGAGTCTGAGCTTCCTTGAAGTCCTAACAAACAAAGGAAAAGGATGAGCTTATTGTTCTCACCATCCCCAGCACCTTCCTCTTCCAGACACACGTGCACACACACACATACTTCCAAATACACTGTGTATAATCTTCCATGGTCTGAGAGAAACTCTGAGGGTGAATCTAAAAGTCTCCAATGCGTAAGCTGACAATCATTTATTTTCCCCAATTTAAGCACTCTCGATCATGACAGGATATGCTGTTGGTCATGACTTAGGGCCACAGGCAAGAAGTGGGCCTGTCCAGGCAAAATTGGGATTGGCCACCCTGCTTACAAGGGGATCCCTGCGCATTAGGACCGGTGTGGGGATATGTCTGGCTGCCCAGGGCTTGCGTGGCCTGGGCATGGCCAAGCGCTATGATCCTTGCTCTCCGTCCACAAAAGCAACCGTGGCACCCTGTCCACAGTTGGCGGAAGTAAGAGCCAGGATCTTTTGCTCGGGGCATCCCCGTCATGGATGGGACTCGACACAGCCCCCAACTCAGGGGAGCCCACAGCCTCCTGGAGTTGGGGAACAGGGGGAGGGACATCCCACCGTACTCTGGTCTCACCTGTCCCCTGTAGCAACTCCCTGATGGCTGCAAAGCTCCCCGGCTGATCTCGCAGCTGCATTTCACCAGCTGGCCCGACTTTGGAGTGCCTTTCACCCCCATTGGGATGCTGAAGTTTCTCAAGAAAGTGAAGACGCTCAACCCCACGCACGCCGGGCCCATCGTGGTCCACTGCAGGTACGTCTGGATGGCCACAGGGCAGGATCCTCCGGGGCTGGCCATGGTGGGAGGACTCGCCCCTCTTGGGAAAAAGACCCAGGGACCGACGTCCAGGTAGGCAGAGATGCAGACAGGGCTGACATGGGCACAAACTCCAGTGACTGAGCGAGCAGTGGCCCCAAAAACCCAAGGGGGAGAGGGCTGGAGTGATGGTCAGCCCCTAGCGTATTCCACGGTGGCAAAACTCCCTCATCACCCTGTATGTAAAACCAACAAAAGCTGAGGGGTCCAGGATGGCGGTGGGCGCAGGGCTCTGGGGCATCTACTTTGCCTTCCACACCTCCTCCAGGAGTCCCAAGTTACCTCCGGGAACCGAGATGGAAGCCAAGTTTCTCCAAGAAGCAACCCCCTACACACACACACACACACACACAAATCTTTATAGCAGGGCACAGTGAGGTTCAGAGGGCTCGGGACACCCAACAGAGCACAGAATCCTCC